CTTACAAGCACCGTAATATGCTTGAAGTTTGATTTTTTTTTTTTTTTTTTTTTTTTAGTATCGAAAATTATTCATATCTATAGGATCAAATGAACAACTATTGAAAAAGATAGAAAGTTCAGCTTTCGCCCTTTGTTTAGATGACACTTCTCCCGTTACACGTGATGAGATTAGTCATGCTTGCTGGGTTGGAGATGGTCGTAACCGCTATTTTGACAAGTCTTTACAATTTATAGTTTTTGATAATGGAAGAGCAGGATTCAGCGGTGAGGTAAGTATCCAATATACTACATCTATTAATTTGAATTTTAAAATTTTATAAATATACAAGATGCATTTTTCTTCAATTCTAGCATTCTTCTATGGATGGGACACCAACGTGCAGATTAAATGATTTTGTTTGTGACGTAATTGCCAAGAACAAAATTAATCATGGTTATCCTAATGTTCGTTCTAATCTATCTGAACCTGAGCAACTTCATTTTACTTTGAACAATGATGTTCTTAATGCTATCGCAAAAGCTGAAAGTAACTTTGATTCCCTTGTTGCAAAACATGATTTACGAGTATTAGCTTACCAAGGATATGGTAAAAACGGTATCAAGAAATTAGGATTCTCACCAGATGCATATGTACAAATGATTATTCAATTGGCATATTACAAGATGTACGGGGTTAGTAGATCAACATATGAAAGTGCTCAGACCAGAAAATTTGCTCATGGCAGAACTGAAGTTTGTAGATCTACATCAGTTGACTCTGTTAATTGGGTAAAAGCTATGGAAGATCCAAAAGTTCCAGTAAGTGTCATCTTAAAGTATTGTTACATATATAACAGCAATTTCAAAAAGTATTTTTTACATAAAGTTAGAAGTCAAGGCAGACTTGGGTCGTAAGGCGATACAGTCACACGTAAAATACATGTCCGAAGCTGTCGAAGGACGTGGTTGTGACAGACATTTATTCGGTGAGTGCAAAATATTCGTAAAACCCATATATAGACATATTTTAAATAGGTATACTGAATTATTTTCTTTCAACAAGGTCTTCGTATGTCTCTAAGACCAGGAGAGGAAAAACCAGTAATATTTACTGATCCTACATACATTAAGTCAACGCATTGGTCTCTATCAACCTCTCAACTTTCATCAGAATATTTTGCCGGATATGGATGGGGAGAAGTAGTTCCTGATGGATATGGCATTGCATATCAGATTAATGCCAATGTGATAAGCTTTAATATTGTTTCAATGCATTTGAACAATGAACGAATGAGTCATTATCTTAGAGAGGCAGCAGATGAGATGAGAGAGCTATTTGAACATACACAGGCAAAGGAAGGCCGTGTTCCAGCAAAATTATAATAATAGAATGTAGTAAAAGCATGGATAGGAATGTTAAACTGTTCAAATAGTTCCGATACTTTGATTTATACTTTATTTTCAAACGGTTTACATCCCTACTTGCAGAACTATTTATTATTAAATATTTCCCTCGCGCATGTTATCCTCGCGTAAAATTACATGATATAATGTGATAAAGAAACTCTTACGTAGTGGTTTATCAAGTGTAAAATAAGAAAGACTTATTGATCAGTGATTTATCAAACGTAAAATATTTTTGAATAAAAATAATTAATTAGACCATTCCTTTTGTTTGATGGATATTTATATGTGCAAAATCATATATATAATATGTAAAGAAATAATGTTATCATGCCGCTAAAGAAATCATTTTACATAATTGGGGCTTGCGGGCAGCTTTAATAAGAAATATGTACGTTGTAATTATGAAATGAGCTAAGCTGCGAAATAATTACCGTCAGTTCTTAGTGATGTCTTACAATATTTTGGATGCGAATTTCGGAAAAGCATCTCAATCAGAGTTGTCAATGGATACGTTTAGACAAAAAGTTTGGACTACAGTGCGGGAAGCAATATAATTGGATAATATGGCTATTAGAATATAAATCAACATTTGGTAAAAAATTTTGGCCAGAATTATGTTAATTTCAGATAATTTTGACCATCTATTATTTTACAAAACATTTTTATTTATAAGTTTTTAAAGTTCATATATATATATTACATATACGTTGATTTAAGGATTCCTGAAACTCAATTTTATTATAGTGACTTGATTTAAATCATTGACTGTTAAGTATAAAATGTAAGATTTAAACTTTATAGAAATGTAAACATGGCAAAAAAGACCTTTGAACCTCAATCTCGCACGAGATCACATGATATATAAAATATATTCTAGGTTTATTGCAAACATCTATAGTTATTATTATTTAAGATTATACGATATAACAGACGCCCTTACTAGTGTTAGAAATCTAAATTGATTTTGCTGTTCTCAAGACAACTACTTTTTCAAAAAAATGTTTTCAAAATGTTTTCAAATAAAATTTCATATGTATCATCTCTACTAATGTTCTCGCATACTATTAAACATAAGGGAACATATTTTAAACAAATATTTTCAATTTTGAGATAATGTTCCCCTGAGAACATGAGAATATAAGATTTCCAACACTGGCCCTTACAATTCATTGGTTTGACGGACCAACTTAAAGTACCTAACCTTTAATAAGAAATTTAAAATGGTTATAACGATAACGGATTCAGTAAAAGGCTATATTATGTACAGTATAATGTCAGCCCACTCATTGATACTAATTTATAGCAAATTTAATAATGCACCCATTAGAGCACAGTTCTATGATTGCTACTTTACTAATGTCATTTAAAAATTGTCTTGAAATAGATCTATACCAAAATTTAATATTTTGTCAAGCATATTTTGTCATACAGGTATAACGAATATGCTTATAACGGGACTTTTAGGCCAGCTCGGATTTCCGCGATATCTGATAGTAGACTGTATTTAACGTTAAGGAACTTTGAATTTATTATAAATCAGTAATTATACAACTTTGATACAACTTCTAATACGTATACAGGGAAAACCAAACAACCAATAACCATATATGTATGTATATATAAAAGGATCATTAATAATAATTAATAATTGTGAAAAAAATTTCTATATATATAGAATATATTATCTAAATTGACACAGTTATTATTAGTCGTCATCCATTCGTTTAAATTCAGATCTATCATCTACCCTACTATTAGCGATATATAATTTAATGGATAGGATTGTAAATATAATTAAAGTGACAGCAACATAGGCATAGTAAATATAGAATATTGTCATTGATGCTCCATAAAGTGATAAACCTAATGGAACTTGAAATATTGCCAGGGCCACAATCGCACGACCTAGCCACCTGTGAATCATAAAAAAGGAACAATGGTAAGAAAAACAAAGTGAAAGATAATTGACATTGCAATTACTTACCTATGAAGATGAGTCCACCAAGGTGTGTAGTTTCGACGAGGATCATACATCTCGTGATGAAATACACCAACAGTCAGTTGAACGAATAAGCAAATAAAAAGAATCAAACCAAGAATCTGTAGTATTATAAATTATAATTAACCATGATAATAACATTACTATGATTATTGACAAATTTATGAAGTACCTTGTGGGGGTCACTAATAGCCTGAAAACCTCCCGATGCAACATAAGCAATTGCATTGCCAATGATAACAAGAGGAATTACAAGGAAAACTAGAATACCTCGATGCAAGTTGACCCAAAAGGATAGAGTTCTTAGAAAAATAAAGCATAACTCTTAAATAAGCAATTTAGAGAGATAAGAATGATGAATAGTTAATAGTTAATTGCTCACCTCGCAAATCTGGCTACCGACACAGCAACAGGTAAAAATACCATCCAAGCAAAGAACATTATACTAGCTGCACGTAATTAAAAAGAAATAACCGTGGTTAAATCCTATGTAACTTATATTCATTTCCCTCAACATAAAAGGTTTATTATGAGAACCTTACCATGGGAAATAATCAATTTATCATAAATTGACAGAGTATCCGACGAGATCTCTTCTTTCACGCTTCCAAAAGTTAAAACCACATCACCTCTGTATATATGTTTTTGGATGCTCGAAGCTGGATCTTTACCACTTGGTCGAGTAGTGGCATAGGCCCATGCGAAAGTTTGAGTTTCATTTATAACACTATCTCTGACTTTTTGAAGACGTCTAAAATATACCACCAATCGATCATTGCTAAAGCCGCTTGTTTTGTTTGGTATCAATTGTAGATCGTTTTGGTAATCTGTTGCTTTGGGTTCGTTGGGTTTATCACCTGAACGTTGCGAGAGAGTGACTGTACCGTCATCATTGGGCCAAGCCACCTATAACGAACCGACTGATAAGCAAATTATTCATTAAATGTGTAATAAAATGTTAATAAATAATACTTGCTATTAAATATCCAGACATTCCCTCACCGATACCAATTCCGAGCCATCTGAATTGTAAAAACAAATTCAATCGAGTGATTAATATTATTATTTATTATTTAGTATAATTAATTTCACTAATAAAAATAACTCTAAACCGAACCTGACCCTTAATAAACTCTATCTAAACCGAACTTTAAAATTTTTAAATTTTATAAAGTTCGGTTTACATTTTTTAAACTAAATCTTTTTTTCATTTTAATAGGTCCGGGGGTCCGGTTAGAGGAAGTTTGCAGTACATAAATTTTTTACCCGGCAGTTGATGGAGACTCTAGACGAAATTCAACCCATTTCTGATCATCAGGTAAATTTTTATCAGGGAGGGTAATATTGAAACAATAATCAGCATTACTGCTACAATAAGAGTTCTGACCGAATGTCGCTACGTATTAAAAAAGTTAGTTAATTTTTATGATGCACATTTTTGTTTCTTAATATGAATCCTTACATTGAAAGAGTGTAAATAGGATTAGTGCAATCCACAAAAATTTATTGGTAATAATTGTCATTTTTCCTCAAAAATTATTTTATTATATCTTCCGACTGAATTAGATACAGATAGAGAAGAGAGCATCCTAACATTAAAATTTCCGTCTTGTAATTATACATCAATCTATAAATGGACGAAGTGTGCAAATGGCTTTTACCTAATTTGGGAAATAAATAATTAATAGTTAATATTAATAGTTATAGTGATACATATATAAACTTCGTAACCTAATATTAACATAAACTTTATATTTTTACCTAACAGCAGAGACCGTTAATGTTACACATATATTAAAACTGGTGAGGGATTATATCCATCACAATTGAATCCAACATAA